GACTTCTCTATTAAGACTGGTAGACAAAAAATTGTTGAATGCTAATAGACGACCTTTACTCATCTTTATTCTATCGAAGTCTTCAAGTAACATGCCTTGACCACGATAAACAGTAAATGAATCTTGATGAATTGTCTGAGAATGAATTTCTTGGATATGACGATGAACATCACGTATAAAATAACTCATCATGATAATGATTTCTACATCTTGTATTCGAAGAGCACGATTAAGCATCTTATAGATAAAACATTCACGTGTATACCACCAGATAGGTGTATGTGTTCCACAATCATGTTCGAACTCATCAATGATTTGTAATTCATAAGGATTGTCACGATATTGTTCTCGACAAAAGTCGATAAATTCTTTCTTGACGTCATCATTGTATTCCATTTCAAGAAACAATTTTTTAAGTAATTGAGTATACATAAATGATGGATCAAGACGATTCAAATCGTCGCTTGTGACACTAATCGAAATTGAATCTCGATCACATTGACGAATATCAGTTATTAATATATCACATAAATTATCAATCTGAGAAAATACACCTTTCATCTTCGTCCATTCGTTTGCCCACTGTTCGTGTTTCAATTGATTTTCACAAAATATATAGATAGAATTAAGTTGAGACATATGATGAATAATAGGTACTATTAATTGACCGAGTGTACCAGATACAATCATAAACACTTTTTCATCGCCAATTTGAGTAAGAAAATCAAAACATTGATTTGTATTAGTGAATGTATCGATATTATTAACGATTCGTCGAAATTGATTAAGTGAATTTTTGAAATCTACATTCGATTCATTCATGTTCGAATCTAACCAAACGAGTCTAAAATTTTGAATGGCATGAATTTGTGATGACTTTGTAAAATGACTGTCGTCAAAGTTTGTTGCAGTTGTATTTCTGTATGAGACTGATTTCTTTTTGACGTGACTGAGAACAAAAAAACCGATTGATTTAAAAGACAATTTAGGCTTGTCAGATGGTATCTTCTCCGTTTCATTCATTGTAGATAAGTTAATCATTAAGAGACTTCTTTCAATACACGTATAATGATTGTACACTTCAAATGGTCATAAACATCTAGATTGAAATCAAGAATCAGTTGAAATATTGTTGCATTATTAAAAATCAAAATTAGATAGGACATGAATAAAATCTTGGTACTTTATAACAGTATCTATAGAAAGTTATAAATTCAATTGAAGGAAAATGGTTTTACTTACTCAAGTTTGTCAAATAAAATATATCACTATCTAAGAAATCAATCATAAAACTATACAGCTTTTATTTTAAATAAAAAGTATTATTCGTCGATAAAAATTTGTGTGTTCTTCTTCATCATCTATCACAAACCAGCTATAACATATGTCTGTATTGTGACATAATACTGTCAAATTTTGTGCGATTAGTAACATCACAATCCGTGATCATCGTAACAAATAAGAGACCATGTACAGTAAAATATTTCATCTTCGAAAATATTCTATATGTTTGTGTTTATTTGACTTATTTTTACAAAAAATAGCTTACAAGCATTAACTGGAGTGATATTAATTGCTAAGTTTTATGTTATTATATAGATACTTTCGCTTCTCTCTCTCTCTGTGTGGGAGCAATGAGCCATGATATTTTGATTTTTGTCTGTTCTTTTGTAATGATGCGCACGTAGGTAGAAAGATGCGTCAAATTTTGTCTACGTCAAAGAAAAAAAAAGATAGTTCATGACTCAGGAGAGAAAATTATGATGTAAAATAGGTGTAATATAACTTTTAAATAGTAAATCATGTATCTATTTGAAAGAGAAACAATATGAATATCATTATCTAACAAGTTAATAATACTTGAGTCGTTTTTCATTCTTAGAACTTTTACTGCTCCTTAATTTCTTTTTGAATAGACAGTACAACTAGTAGTGATTTTCGAATCACGATAAATGTTATAGCTACACTAGATGTAATCGAGAACTAACGATTTTCTTAATATTTTCATGACTTTTTACGTGTGATGTGAACAAAAATAAGACCGTTAAACAGATCCATATTCATCCAAAAGCAAATGTGAAACTAATCGAGAATGATCTAATTGCTATTCAAACCATCAGCAACATAAGTCAAGTCAAGTCAGATACTTCAGATTTGTAAAACTAAAACTTATACTGCATTTATTTGCTTTTTTTATTTATTATTAAACATGGAAAGGAATCGAAGTAATATACGGTAAATCAAGATGTAATACTAAATGAAAAAAAAATTGAAATCAAGCTACAACAGTCAAATCCAAAGATAGCATTATATCATTCCGATTATATCGAACTCTCTTTCATTCGAGTGATTTAGTACATGTTGATGTCTTTCTACAATGTGAACAAAATCAAACTATTATTCTGATACTTGGAAATATGTATATGAATTCTTTTAATGAAATTATTGGGCTTATTTTGTAGGTATCGATGATAGAAAACATCTGGAACAACTAAGATTATTGGAAAATAGAATAGATATACGGCATGCCCATTCGTCGTATTAAAATTTCCAATCTAAATAAGACTTCGATCTCTATAGAGCAACGTAGACATAGACAAAATTCTTGTTGATTTGAGAATTGTTAATGACAAACATCACAGTTTCAACCAAAGGAACAAGATGATATAACTATTTTCTCTTGACTTTTGATTTTGAATCCTTTCGAGTATGTGCAGTGAATAAATGATAAAAAATGACTTTCAATAGTGGCCTTCGATCTTCATCCTCAATCAAATACCCTCCCATTTTGAAATCGAATTAGAGCTCGTCATATATATATATTAGTTAATACGTGAAACGATGATTTTGTTGATTTTTATTCAATACATCGCACACACACTATGTATTGACACTTTGATCAACACTAATCCGTGCCAGCAACCATCTGCCTCTATTAATTTTTAGATGATACCTACTCATATTTCACTTACCTTCATTTCACTTGCCTTCGAGCGACTATAAATACTATCATCACATTCGCAAGTATGTGTTAGAGCCCTTATTCATTCACTATTGCGTTTAACAAATTTAAAACATGGTCTTGATATTGTATACGTGCTTCGTGTTGTTATTGGGGACTGTCGTTATCGCTCAAGACGAAGGTACTGTAAATTGCCAATTGAATACATTTCTTTCAATATAATTTTATTTTACATTCAAATTACAGGAGTTGTATGTGGTGAAAATGAATTGTTTAGTAGTTGTGGTTCACCATGTATCGAAACATGTACCTACAAACCTGAAGTTTGCATAGCTATGTGCGACGTTGGATGCTTTTGCAAAGAAGGATATGTACGAGAGTCGAACAAGACTGGCAGTCCATGCATCAAACAAGAAGAATGTGGAAAACCGAACGAATTGTCATCGTGTGGGGAAAACGAAGAATTCTTGACGTGTGGTTCTGCATGCCCATCGACATGTGAAGATTGGTCGTATCCACTTCCAAAACAGCCTACTGCGTGCATTGCAGTGTGTGTGACAGGTTGCTTCTGTAAAGAGGGCTTTTATCGTTCAAAACAGGGTACATGTGTCAGGCGCGAACAGTGTTGTAGCAAGAATGAGATATTTAGAGATTGTGGTTCAGCCTGTGTTGAAACATGTATTGACAAGCCTGAAATGTGTACTGACCAATGTGTCGCTGGCTGTTTCTGTCGTCGTCCAGATTATGTGCGCCTCAATGACATGGATAATAGTGCCTGCATTCCTCGTAATGAATGTCCACTATAATGGGCTATAATTCATTTATACGAACATCGTTTAATCTTTGTTCGAATTATTCGAAATAAAAATAATAGAAAATAGAAAAGTTTTCAGAATGTGAATGTCAGTTTTCTCTTTCTTCACACTCTCATGTGAAATTCAGTGAGCAGATAGATTATTGAAACGATTGATCTAGAACATTGAAAAGTTTTGCCATCGCAAAAGTAAGGAGGATGCATTGCTTGCAATAATTGACAATTCTCTGTTAGTATCCAACAGTATTGATTCAAATGATGATACTTGAAGTTAAACAAAGTTGTCACTACCACGTGTTACAGATTGTGAATAGCCGATCTGAGATTCCAGAGAATATTTCTAAAGGCATATTTTATCATCGTTGAAAGTCAATGAAAAAAAATAAAATATCTTCTATTGATAATATTCTCGTTTATTTTTGAAGATTATTGAATTTTTGATCATTATCATTACGAAGATTAACATCAAGTGAACAAATTCTGTTGATTCCAAAAAATTTGATTGAGTTTGAGTGTTCGAAATTCGTGTGAAGTCTTGCTCATTCTTGAACATTTCAATGTGACAGATGATCGACTATCAAATAATTTGTTCTCACGTGCCAACATGGAACTGACGTGCATTCATTCACACAAGCGAGGCATTTGTCAGAGAGCCGGTGCTATCCGCTTTCGATTACTATTCTTGAACCAAATGGCTCTGCATCATCTTGCGATCTTACTTGACTCTGCTAAAATGCTTCTACTGTGATTGTTTCTATTATGGCATTGTGCATTATCTCTTACTTTTGTAACTACGACAAACATAGACAAATTTCAAGGAATATAGTCAATCATGTTCATTTTCTTGTTCTCAAAGCTTACTGATCATTCTTGTCGTTATCGTAATTGTAACTGCTGTGTTTAATGACAACATTTTGAATTACCATCATAGACTCGATAAAGGTAGGGAAATTGTGAAATAGAACTTAGTTTTTTTTCATCAAAGTCGATGAGAGGAGACGGGTATGAAAAATTTTGATGCCAAATCTTATTAGATGGATAGTGTCAGATTGTGGACAGTGATTAAATGCTTACATATAAGTTGTTTTCTTTCGGAAATATCTTGTATTACGTCGTGAAATACAAATGAAATCATTTTATTTTGACAGTAAAAACCAATTATGTACAATGTTTACAAAAAAAAAAAGTTTTTAAATTTGTTACATGTATACTTTATTGCTCACTTCAAACACCACGTTTTGGGTTGTAGAATAGATGTACATCTTTTGCCGAATCTGTCAATCGCATTCGAATCGTGTACATCGATTCATTATAATGACCTTGCCAATGCAATTCAATATAAACATCCATTTTACCAGTATTATCATTCATCGGTATTCTATGTTCGATGAATTCTTGACCTGTGAGCCGTTGAGATTCGTATTTGGATACAGTACCTTGTCGAACTAGTATTCTCACTCTTGAAAAAAGTGTATAGGGAATATCTTGAGCAGGATCGAGACCCATGATCTTAATTATTTGTTTTTTAATTGTAATACGTATTCGTCGATGGAGTTTCCATGTAGGTATAGGAATGTTTAATTTAGCCATCAATCCTTGCATAATATCGTCGCATAAAGCATGTATATTGAGTTTGGCCAACTGAGCCAATAGAGTCAATTGTAAGTTGCCAATGATTAATTTGCCACCACGTTTACCGACTAGTTGAGGAATATCTGCTGCTAGTGTAACTCGTAATGAAGAGCACAAAACGAGACACATATCAGCTTTTCGTGCATGTTCAAAGCTTGCTTCGAGTTCTTGTCTGGGAAGATTCTCACCAAAGTTAATAATCGAATCGTACAATGTCGAACGGCATTTAGCATATTTACGAGTTGTTTGATGATCATGAGCTTTGGCGGCCGTTCGTGTTCGAAAATCACGCAAATATTTTGTCTGACATTTTTTACATATTTCCAAATTTGAATTACCATGTAACTCGGCTATTAGGGGCGAAGGCAAACCAGATCTTAGATGAAGACCGTCGATGTTTTGAGAAACGATAAAATGAAGAAGATTCTGACGAGTTAATTCGACAAATGCCATATGTGTGACCGATGGAATTGCTTTTGTTAAAGTAACTGTAAAAGTCGTTGGAGAACGTTTGGCACCTGAATGATCACGAAGTTCCCATACACCTGGTCCCGTTGGAAGAATAGTATTCATACTGGATCGAAAATCAGGAATACTAAACAGAAAATAACAATATAGAAATACAACCACCGTTGATCGATATTCATTTGAAATAGATTCGATGTAGTCTATATGACTCACGGATAAACCAAAGAGGACTAAGGAGTTCTAGCCTCTCTCTGTCAGCAAAAATTTGCTGCAGGGCATACGGGAAATTTTTCAAGAAGCATTTTTTCCTATTTTGTGCAATTAATTCTTTACTCCAGAGAGTCCTATCTACTCTTAGAAAATGTCACAGTACGAGTCTGTCATGAATCTTACTCACTCTGTGGATGTCGATATACCCGCACCTATAATAATTGTAATTTTTCATTATTTTACTTATTCGAAACTTTTCTTCGACTTACTAGTGAAGACGATAAAATGTTTAGCATTACGAATCCAACGGCCAATTGCTCAAGTTTCTGACCAAGAATTTCGGGTGGATCGATAATTTCTTTTTTTGTAGGATCTTCATCTGCTATACCATGTGCCATATTTGATTAAGTTTTTTTTACAGATTATACTCAAAGATCTTTTCGATTTATATGTATATATGTATATCTCTAGTAACTATGTATTGGTGTAGAGAGTTGCCAACTACTTAAACGAAAGAGTTTGCATAACAATGTTGCCATCACGGGCATATACGTCATTCATAAATGTTAATTTACGATTAGAAGTGAAAATGACAGAATAAAAAGAAACTTAACAAACAAAAAGAGTTATTTCTTTTTTTTTCTCGTGGTTGAATTGAAAAATGTCGTCTTATTTTGCGACAATACTTTTTAATTGCATTCAAATGAAATTTGACAAAGTTTCTGTGTCTTAGATATGATAAGACAGACAGTTTTGATTTTGTTGATCATAAGGCAGTGTAAAACATTATTGACCCAAAATTTGAAAGTGGAAATCATTTCGGATTATGACTTGAATTCAACATTATTGAAGATACGAAAGCATTGTCCACATACACAAATTAGAAAAGCATGAGAAGTCGCTATTTAACTAGCAAACAATCATATCAACAATTGCTTTAGAAATAGTTCAAAACAAAAATTACTTTTCGATAAACGAGTAATCCCAATTATAATAATCCTTTCAGTATGTGAGATTATAAAAAAATATGTTTCCGTCTTTATTTGACGTTTTTATTCATCATATTCAATTTTGATTGAAAATCACTTATAATCGATTACTGACGATTAAAATTGAAATAATCAAAGATCAAGGAACAATTTTTGATTATCCTATGAAATATTTTCCGTAGAATATTTATCTGCTCATACATCTGGTAGAACTTTTTTAACTTCTCACGTTCAAGTAATGACTTAGCTTTTATTTAGAACCAATCGCTTGCCACAAATTTTTCTCTCTGTCCTTACAATTTGTGCATCCTATTTTGTACACTATATAAAATGCTTATCCTTTATTGTTTATTTGTTTTTATTTTTGTCAGATGGAGAGCTGTTTCTTGCGATTATGAAGGTTCAGATGCAAGTGAAGAGTGGAAACGAGCTCACTCATACTCTAAAATAAGTCTGGAGTACCACTGTGGCAAGTTTCAGGTCGAAGTTCGAAAGTCAGATTTTATCCGAAATCGTATCATGGAAAAAACTTAGTAAAAATTAACCTTCTCCATACAAAAATACCATAAACTGCTCTAACAAGATGGATGACTTGAGAGGTTTTATGAACTACCTCATGGACATAAGTACACTTCAAAAGTTTTCTGCCACCTTAAGAGATTACCTCATTAAATTATATTACCATTCCCTTTCATACCAATTCGTAGACCATTTGAAGAGCTGTCGTGTGAGTGTGAGCAGAAGGACGCCACATTCCTAGATGCATCTGTCAATATAGTGTTCAGTCCAACATTATCTCTCGAAGATGTGTTCTTTATTACTTTGAAAACTATAAAAATGAGCCAATTAACAAGAAATTCATAAACTCTACAAGAAAAGTTTCAGTCTAAACATTTATATTTTTAAAGTGAAAAGTTCTATCTCATGAATGAAACAACGCATATTTTTCATACAAGCATATATGATTCATAGTCTCTGTTGGGTTTTTTTTTGAAGATATATAAAAATAATTTGCTTTCAATCGTATTGCTTTGATTACAAAGTAAAAGTAATAATGATCTTGTCAATTCTCGTGCAATCGTGCTGATCAATTACACAATCTGACAGATGTTGCATTACACGTAAATATACTTGTAAAGATAAGTTTTAGCATCGTAAAACACTCCACAATATGATAAAACATAACGAGTAACTGGGTATAAATAATTGCATCAATATTGAAATAAACACTTGGTGAATTCGAACTTCATTTTCTTGAGTATGAATATGATTCATGATCTGTTTAATTTCTTTGTTCGTTCTCTTTTGAATAAAAGAGAGGGCAAAAAGAAACAATACAAACGTTTGTTTTGAAGGCGAATATGGAGTTTTTCGTCATCAATGTTATTTCAGGTAACAATTAAAATAATCATAGTCTGTACAGTTATATATTAATCAAATATGAAAAGAAAAGTAAATTTTAAAAAAAGAGAAATTGAAAATATTTTCAGGTATCTGCTTCATTTCTTTTCAATCAACAATTAAATTACTCATCAGATTTCTATCGCTCAAATATTGAAAGTAATTTTCATTCTTTCTTCCCGTTACAAAACAAAATTAAATAAATAGAATTTGTTGCTCACGTTTCGGTTTACAATGCATGTCCACAATAATGAATTACTACAGTAACTAAGCTATACGATTTATGAAATATATTACTTACAGTAAATTTTAAACAAGTATTTGAAATACAAAACAAGGCAAAATAAAATCTGTATAATTCGAGAAAAAAAGCACAACGACATAATTAGTTTTGATCAATATACATACGTATGCAGTTAGAATGCTTATTTTATGCCGTTCAACAATCGATTGTACATTTCAAAATTTGTGTAGTCGAAGTCCTGTCAATAATTTGAAACTGCACTGTTGATATGTGAAATATTAGTGATGTAACATCAAGGATATGAATTTCTTTGCGCAACTTTATGAAATCCTTCATGGCGTTCTGTTCTTAGAAGTGATGCGATGCAACAATGATGTACTTTTTTTTCCTCCTTATTCTTTCTTGGCAAGACCAGGTGAGATTGGGGGTTGAAAAATGACATCATATATAAGCATATAGTGACTCATATAATTCACTCTTCAAATATTTCTGTGGATGTAACTAGTAACTTTAGTAGATAATTGTATGTTTTTTAAAGCTAAAATAAAAATCAACGATTCATCTTAAGTAATTGAAACTAGAAGGAGAAGTAGAACTTGAAAGACTCTTTATTATCGAGCTGATAAAATCTTATCATATATTTCTTTAAATTCTAGATCACTTTAAGCAGGTCTTAATCGAATAAAACTTTACCTTTTAGTTTATTTCGATAGCATAGAGAACACACCTGTTTTATATGTATATCATGATTGTACAGCTGCTTATCTTCCTTGTCGTAATCAATTATTCAGTGAACGGTTTACAAGCTAATGATTTTTACGTTCGTGATTTACCACTTTTGCCAAAAGAGGCTTCTTCCATTCGTATGCATGCTGGACATCTACCTGTTAATCCACAACATCATGGAGCCTTATTCTTTTGGCATTTTGCAAGCAAACATATTGGTGACAAGTCAAGAACAGTAATTTGGCTTAACGGAGGTCCTGGTTGTAGTAGTCTGATTGGAGCTTGGGCAGAAATTGGTCCTTTTCGTTTTCAAGATGAAAATACAATAGTCGAAAATAATGGATCTTGGCATATGTTTGCTAATCTATTATTCATCGATCAGCCTGTTGGTACTGGTTTTTCCTATATTGATACGGATTCGTTTATTCATGAACTCAATCAAATGTCCAATCAATTTCTCAGTTTTCTCGATCGATACATCGAAATTTTCCCAGAATTACTTCAAGATGATATTTATTTAGCTGGTGAATCTTATGCTGGTCAACATATTCCGTATATTGCACAAGCAATTCTTAAAAAACGATCGGTACTAAAACTGCGCGGTCTTCTGATTGGAAATGGTTGGATTGATCCTGTGACTACTTATGAATCATATTTGCCTTTTGCTGTTGCAAACAATTTAGTGGAAAATAATTCTGTACTCTATAATAATATTGCTAATCAAGTTAAAATATGTCAACAAGCGCTTTCCAATGAAGTACATGTTTCTGACGAGGCATGTGAACTTATCCTGAATCAAATAATGGCCTACGGTGCAATGAATAATCATTATACGACAAAGGAAAAAGGTAGATGCGTCAATGTCTACGACGTACAATTAGACGATACATGGCCTGATTGTGGTATGAATTGGCCATCGGATATCAAATATGTTACGCTCTATTTGCATCGACAAGATGTTAAGTCACGTATTCATGTTAGTAGTAAGAAATCAGGATGGACAGAATGTGCAGATTCTGTTTTTCAAACATTTCGAGCATATCATTCTATACCATCGATTAAATTGTTGCCTGATTTACTTCGACAAATTCCAATCGTACTTTACAGTGGTGAATACGACTTGATTTGTAATCATTGGGGGACCGAAAAAATGATGGATACTATGACTTGGAACAATGGAACTGGATTTGATCTGGGAAATGGAACGTTAGCTCCATTAGAACCATGGATTGTAGATGATGAACCTGTCGGTCTTATTCGAACTGCACGTAATTTAACTTATGTTTTGTTTTACAACGCTAGTCACATGGTACCCTATAACTATGCACGTCGATCACGCACTATGCTACACCAATTCATACAATTGAATTTATCTTCTAATGCTGATCAAACAACGAAAAACAATACAGCCAAAAAGATGAATCAGACAACACATCGTGCTGGTTTTATCGCAGTTGCTTCGATCATTATCATTATAGCTCTTGCTGGTCTTACTTGGTTTGTTATATGTAAGCAACAACAGATTGGAATGCCCACATCGTTTAGTGGAACTCGTGCATTGTGGTCACATAATCGCGATTTTGAGTTACAGCAATTGGTAGTGAATTCACTTGTAGATGATGCAAATGAAAATTTTTATGCATCAGGTGACGAAACATTCGTATAATTTATGTCAAATCTTACTGGATCATACTGTTGTAACAATTTTCTTCTGATGTTTCTATGATCGTTCTATTTTTTAAAATACTTTATAAGTACCATATGTTTACGAGGAACAAAAATATGATAACAGTCAAATTCAAGTAGAGATGCTTACTCGAATACTGTCTATAAATTGGAGAGCGAGTTGATGACATTCATATAAAAAAAAAAGGTAACGTGTTTCTAGGATTCTGTTTGTCGGAAATATATGTCTGATCTCAATACAGTACACTGGAAAGAACATCACTTTAACAATTTGAAGATAGATTTTCATTTGTCATCTCTACTACGAAAATCACTAATGTGCACAAACAAAAATCAAAACAGAAGAATCTTAGATTGTTTTGATCTTATCATATTGTAATGTTGACCAACTCTAACGATCAATAAAATCTGCATCGATTTGAAGTATTGTCTTCTAGGATCCGAACATTTTCCATAATTTGTCTATATACACATGTATTTGTAATATAAAGGTCTTGCCGCCAAGCATGTAGTGATCAATGTTGATTGAAATTAGGGAATTGAATCGATTTTAATCCTTTTCTAGATTTGAAATATTTGTTTGTGTCCAATAACGTTTGCATAAGATTCGCCTCGATATTTTATTTTCTCCAGTGACCATCTGGTATGTTATTCATTCGTAACTATATGATAGTTGAGCGCAATCTTATGATTCACTTCCTTTACATACATTGATGAATAGTAGAGACTGAAACTATGTTTCGAATTGGAATGACATGTCAGCCCAAAGAGCATATTCTTTTTTTTCAGAACATGAATGAAAAAATTCTTTCTTTTTCATACTCTGTTTCTGAATAATAAAAAAGGAATAGATGGTGCATTTTAGTAGTAAAGATACATTCTTTTATGATCTATTTTTTATAGATTGTGTAATGATCTCATTTTAACAATCGACATATCGATGGAGTTTGTAGAGTAATAAACATCTAACTTCATAGATAAAATTTTTTTCTATTCTCTAGAAATCGATGTGTATTGACTTTCGTCTTTTTTTCTTCAAGAGATTTATTCGATCTATATTTATATATAGATAGATAAAAGTCGTATTTTTTTTCAAGTTTTAGTCAGATCGAAAATAACTAAATTGGATCTTTTTCATTTCAAAGATTTAACATGTTTGTGTTTACCAAAATAGTCAACCTTTCGGATAAGAATTCGTCTATTGTAAAATCCTTTTTTTAATCAAGTAAATTGGTTATAAGTGTAAAATACTATTAGGTTTTCATGCAGGTTTATCAAATTTGCTAATAGCCATTTATTAATCTATTAAAATGCCGTGCGCGTTGATGATTCTAACCCTGGGAAAAGTGTAGCACGATATTTTGTGTGACAAACTTAAAGACTATACAGATTCAACGAAGTAGATATGTGCAAGTCATAGGATTCATTAATTGGTTTAGAACTTTAACAAATATGTTGGAGAGAGAGAGATTAAATAGCAAGAATATCCTGAGTAGAAGAAATTGCAAATATAACCTCTTTTTCATCTTGAAAAAAATTTGAGTGAATCAAAGTGCGTAGGTTAAAGTGTCGATCGGAATACACAAAAAATCCGTATTCATACCCACATCCCAAACAGAGAACAATCATGGTGTGGAACAAGTTTGTAATTTTTTTGCTTGTTCTTCATTTGTTTACAATGACCTCTTTTTCATAATAGTGAAGAATTATTATAATAGGTCCCATAAATGTATAACAAGTACATTTTATATTGAAGACAATCACACAACACAGATGGATTTATTCTAAGAACAACTAGAATGATTTTAGATCAATACGTTAGTGCAATTTGACTTATTGATTCGTACGTTGTAAGATGTAAAACTTCGTCATTCGTCGCATCATGCTAGTAATGAATAATTTTAACATTTGCCTATTTACGACTTCAATATGGTTTTATCTATACATTATAAAATCAATCAATCGTAGTTCCGCTTAACATTCAATTTGATGACAAATATTTAAATATTGTGAAATTTTTACGAATTTTGGACTCTATATGACTATGGCGTGAGTTGAAAGAAAATTTACAATTAAGAATAGTGCCGAGATATTCAATATTGTCACATGAAGAAACAAAATGTCCATCAAAATCAATATTAGAAATAATGAGAGGAGCAATTTGACAGTGAAATAATATCCAAAAGGTTTTTAAAAATTGGGGTTTGAGTGTGAATTTTCTCTCCATCCAAACCTACGTCCTGGATACTTTTTAACACCTGAAATCCTCAGAAGATAGTTGATCGGATAGATGGGTATAGTTCGATAGTCGGCATACTGGAAACTTGATAACTCTCCTCTATTTTGCTTTCTTTACTGAATGTAGAAGCCATGTTTTTTTGTTAACATGCACTGAAATGTTTCGAATTTGAAAAATTACTTTCAGCAAACTGACACATCTAATTCTAAGACCCTCAATTCCTGCGTTGAAGTTCTTATGCAACATTAAAAATATAACTGTACACTAAATCGTTTATTAAGCCATCTTCAACAACCAGAGAGACTATCGTATTTGTGATGTGTGAAAACCAGCAAGTATGCCATGAAATATTAATTACTTTATTCGTTACTTACATAAAATTAACAGTTAAGATGAAACTATAGAGCGAATGAAAGCAACATAAAACTGAGCAACATTCAATTGTGTCATGTTTGATCAATCATACGAATACGATCATTTGAGTAATAAAGACCAAGATTGAGTTGCCATGGAAGAGAACATTTCGTCACATCAACATTGAGTTCATGTGTGCTGTGCGTTCGTTCGTTAATTAAGCGTAATTTTTTTTCATCACAATCGACGATTAATTCAAATATGTCACTGATTTCCATATCACTAGTATATCCATTATAATTAGATTGGACAACACCATTGAGTAGAACAGCATTTCCTCCAGCCCAGCCATAAGCTGTGTTGGTGTTGGCTGAGTCTGCCATCATAGGTGCAACTTTCGGCTTGATTCCGAAGAACACCCATTTACTGGCATCTAGTTTCTCAACCTTGAAACGAAATCGATGTTGTCCAGATGAATATTGGCATTTACCACGTACTGCTGCATGACCTTGCGACTGACCATGAATGATCACAAATCCATTTTCTTCAATTCGAATATCACCAGCTGATTGTTCCAAACAATCATCATGCCAATCGTTTATAACAATCTTTCGGATGAATGATATCTCACTAACATCTTGCTGAATACTGATTGTTTGTGATGTAGTCCAGTCGTTCTTTATTTTATTGAGTTTATCTGTCCACTCTTTCAAATCTGTCTCGACAAAATCATCATCATCACGAGCTTTGGTCAATTGTTGTGTGAGATCTCCTAAGACTTGAGTCATCTTGTTCGTATGTTTTCCGATTGCATTCAATAGGTGTTTGCGAGCATCGTCGGCCACTTGATGAATCTTCTCAATTGAATTTTGTTCCCATTCGTCGATTTGCTGCATGAGAGGATGTTGGCGAGGTTGTTTTGTTTGCTCATCAAAACTTTACTTCAATTGATCATGACAGAGAGAAACTTCTTCCATTTGTTGATCCAACATCTGTCGATGTTCAGTTGCATGACGTGTGCAAAAATCTTTTACACAACCACGACATGTAAATACGCCTGCTGCTTTGCCACATGTAACACAAGGTAACTTTTTGACTGTTGAACATGCCATGTGTAAGTGCGTGAATGTATGTGTTGACAAAACAATTTTAAGTCAGAAGTGAACGAAAACGAAAGAGAAAATATCTTTGTATAGAAATATTATCCTATAACATCAATCTGCAAAAAAGAACAAATAAACATGATGCGATCTTGTGTGTCATTAAATAGAAGAAGCACGCTTTCCATTACTGTTCGAATATTCATGATCACCTTCAGTCTCATAAATATTTATTAAATTCGTATCACTACTAACGGGTGGTGCAAAAGTTCTCGAAAAAATGTCGCTTCATTTTTCGTCCGCTAAAACATGTTTTATAAGAATAAAAAATATCTATTCGGAATCTATGTTGAAAGCGTTTTCTAACTGTATATTCAAAAAATTTCCATTATGTCTTGCCTTTGAGTAACGACCACATCCTTAAATGACACTAAAATATACTCTGTAAAAAGTAACCCACAATAATTGTGGCAGAAGGAACCGATATTTCAGTATTTTTCAAATATCTCCTATGCGTTTCGTCATATATTGTGGCTTTTTTTCCCATTACATTCGTCGTTTAATTCTTTACGAACCCGGCAGAAAATACTATGGCATTACTTAAAGATCGGCTCCTTCTGCCATAGTCATTGTGGGTTGTTTTTTTACAGCTGTAGTACATTTTAGTGCCATCTAAGGACGTGACCTTTACTCAGAGACAAGACATTCTAGAAATTTTTTGAACATACAGTTAGATAGCGCTTTCAACGTAGATTCTGAATAGATATTTTTTATTTTGTCAAAACGTGTCATGGTGTGGCCGATGCGAAATGAAGCGATATTTTCCGAGAACTTTTGCAACATTCGTTAATTAATACCTCTTTATGATAGGAGAATAGTTGCTTGTGAGTTTAGTTTTTTCTCTTCGCTGACACCTTCAACTGTGCAATTTCAGCGAAATTTTATTGACAAATTCTGGGAGAAAAATGAAAAATCACACTTTTTGAGATATGTTCTCTAAAAAAAAAAAGTTCGTATCTCTACACAATATTAACCAGAGAAACCATGTCAAACCCAGAATCGATCGTGTCTTGTACAACTCGGCAGACGCTTTCGAATGCTATATGCGACTTGACCCAAACTATCAAAAAATGAGATGACAAACCTCGAAAACACTGGGCTTTCAGATGTAGGATGAGAGTGTGAGTGTGAATGGATGGATGCGCGCGTCATTGGTATGAATCATATTTTGTTTTTAAGAATATCTCTTAAAATAACTTTTGTATAATAGAGCTCAGCCAATAATCCGCGAAAGTCGTCAAACTTTTAGGATACATTAACACATTTAACTGACCAGTAATGCTTGTCACTGTGAATAACAACATAGTATCTAACAACAGCTTTTCATAAGGCATCAATCGGAAGAGATCCATATAAATAATATTTAACCCTGTCTCTCGTAGAAATTTCTTCAGAATGTGCCAACCATGTGTCTTTCGCAATAGTCTCGACAACACGACGACATCACTGTGACATCATGTTGATATAAAATCACTCCATATAAGTATTGACCATTATGTGCTTTATAAATGTGAAAAAAATCAACTGCTAACAATCAACAAAGTGAGTCATTCGTTGATTGCTTATTGGATTTTTTTTGCCCAAATAAAATTACTCAAGGATATTTTGTACGACTATGTCGTGTTTTTTTTTCAAAAAAGAATCGAAAGAAAATGTGCGTGCTCTACCAATGATTCATATGATTATCACCTTTACCAAAACATAACAAGTAAACATATTGTGTTGATTACAATCTAGGTTGAATGATAAACTATAGAGAAGTATGCAAATATTACATTCAAGAGAGAAACAAACAAAATAGTACTCGTTGTTGTTGCCACAAATAATTAGATTGATCGGCACTGATATTTATTGAATGTCTCTTCCTGTTATTCAGTCGTTAAAGTGTAAATCCTACAATGTAATATCCATTCATGAGTGAAAATCATTTAAACAAAATGATCACGTTCAAGAGGAAATACTCTCTATTATGATAGACTCTGTCAGAGAATTATTCTATGTTCTGTTGAAACTCAATCACTTAAAGTTCGAAATGATCACAAGAAGCATTTCGATCAACGCGTTACTCTCATCATCTAAACAGATCGATCGAATTCATCGATGCTTACCCAACTTTCTCTAACAGTGATGGTTAAGATGTGATTGCATATTTATGGGGTTTTGAAGTCCTCGAACATAGTTTACTTAAATTAATAATACGTTTAAGTTATCGTGGTATACCAATACCAAATATTAAAACAATAACTAAACAAGCACTACAAGGTCTTGATTATCTTCATCGTAAATGTGAGATTATCCGTACGGCTGTAATAGTATTTTTTTTTATTTAGTTTTTCATGAAAAAATTCTTATGAAATTTTTTTTTAGATCAAACCTGAAAATACACTTATGTGTTTTGATGAAGAACATGTACGTGTTTTGGCTTATGAAGCTGCTGAATAGCATAAACATGGTATTAAACTAGTTGGATCTGCTGGTAAGAATTAATAATAATAATAATAATAAATATTTATTTATTTATTTATCAATAGTCGCTATTGCACATATTGTAAACAAACCAGATATAAAAATTATGTCAAACAATAAGAAAAAAAAAGAGAAACAAAAACGAAAAAATGCGTGAACTAACTCAACCACTAATTCAAATAATATTTAAATATTTGTATAAAGATTAATTATTATAATTATTTTGTTTTTAGGATGCGGAAAAACAAAAATAAAATTTACTAAACTCATCTAATCAAATTAATTTACATAAATTGGTCCTTAACGATCAAACAACTCAATCAAAGCCAGATAAATAAAACAGTTTTCTTTTGAAAATTTCATTATTTCTTTTATTTAGATATTTCGGGAAATATTTCTGATGAAGGAAAAATGAATGGACATAAAAGTTCTCTAAATGAAAAGTCAGAAAACAAATCAGATGAAAGTGATGAAAAAAATCCTGTTATTCAACCGGGTAATGATCATGATAAAGAACAACAAAATAATGAAAATAATAATACAGAAGAAGAACTTAATGAACAAGCTCCTCTGGCTGCTGCCATGATTTCAGATGATTCAAATAAACAAACAACATCAAATGAATCTAATGCAACATCCACACGCATTTTTTTGGGTGTAGGTGTGAGTGTTTATAAAGAAAACGGCACCCACATCCTATATAATTAGAGCGCTATTTTTTGAGTTTGTCTGAGTCATTGAACTTTCGATTCCTTTTTTTCCTTTAAAAAGTAAGGATTTAGACAAAACTTAAGTTCTCACATGAGCTAAGTCTATTGAGCATAAATGGAATCAGTTAGTATGGATCTGCATATAGTCATATTGTCATGGTGTTTCCTAATTAATGTTGACTGATCTATACATGAAATGAAAATATTTTCCGAAACACGTAAACTATATGACAAATAGTTTCATATATTTACTTTCTCAAAAATATTCTATCACAAAGAATCATCTGTACATATGAAATGGCAATATATGGCATCTTTTTTCTTTTAATCTAACTGCAGATTCCTTGACAGTGAAGAAATCTAGATAATTCAATTAGTAAAATAGCCAATTGATTATCAGAATATCTTCATTTGATTCCAGCATTGCTCTAATAAACCTTGTCATATTATTGTTTATTCTATTCAAAGCAGATCGGTATATATGTTAGATGAAAATTTTGATTACACAAATATTGTAAACAAATAAAATGATAGCTGATGCGGTCTTTGTCCGAGTTTTATATCTAACTCCCTCTCACTCCTGTTACCCTAATTATATCATATAACTCATTCTAGAACAGTAAATAAGTCATGACACATTAACAAAAATTGAGTTTAAGTGAGGAAAAAAAAGTAGTTGAACAGCTGAACATAATGCTAATATCTCTTTAAAAGAACGCCAATGCTTTTACTACGAAGAGTAATCAAAGTATTATCCAGACGGTTGTAATTGTATATCAGGAAGCAAATCAATCCTAGTTGTATGAAATTATGTCTTGACTATGAGTACACGTGAAAAAGAATCGTTTTGTCAAGGTCAGTTTTATTCTGCCGGTACAAATCAAGTACACTCTTATCTACTCTCACGTACTCGGAATGCGACTTTCGTGGAGAATATTACAATCAATGGAATTTATAGTTTAGTGTCTATAATGCATTTTATTCCAACAATTGACAAAAGTGACCACGAGTGAGAACAACAGAAGTCGTTTGATCAAGGTCACTTGATTCTGATGAGATGAATTATATTATACGAATATCGAACTTATCGTTCACAAAGATATCTTCATCTATGCTTTAATAGAACTGTCCTAGTTGTGTAATATGCATAGATTTCTATGGTTTATAATGACATAATTTCTATCTACTGTTTTATAAATAAAAATTCATTCATTGAAACAATCTCTAATTATTGTACTGAGCATTTCGTCTATGAATGATGAGTGCACAAAAATTCTCAATAGACTATATAGTAAAATAAAAATTTGATTATCTCTACTGTGCATGATTTTTCAGTAATGAATAGGTTTTTTCTGTATATCATTAACACAATATTAATATCTGGACAAAGTAGACTTCAGTTGACCATTATTTAGTGATCCTTTTTGAAGAAAATCTTTGTCACATATTTTTTGTTTTCAATTTTCCATTCACAAATGAAGTTTTCATACAACACTAATGGTTATATATTTCATCGATCTGGAACTCCGGCGTTCTCTCAGATATTGGTGCGAGTTTTGAGGGTGTGGGTGTGGATGTGGGTGTGGGTGTGGGTGTGGGTGTGGGTATGGGTATGAATGTGGGTGTGGGTGTGGGTGTGGGTGTGGGTGTGTGGGTGTGGGTGTGGGTGTGGGGTGTGGGGTGTGGGTGTGGGGTGTGGGT